GGCGGTGTTTGCGGGCTCTACGGGCGGCTACGGCCTGACGGGCGGCGTGGCGTCAGTTCCTCCGTCATCTCCGTCCTTCTGCTCCTGCGTCCCCGGGGCCGCGGGGGACCCGGTGGGGGGCGCCCCCTATGCGTCCCAAAAGGGTGAGGGGCGCCCCCGGGTGCGACAAGAGCTCGGGAAGAGCGCGCCAAGCTGCGGGGGCTGCTGGTGGTGGCGTCAGCCTGGCGGTGAGGGTGCCCGGCCCTGAGAGACCAGGCGCGCGGCGGGGAGGTTGGTGGCCTGGCGGGCTGCTTGGTGCTGAGGGACTGGTTGAGATGTGAACGTGGAGTGTCACCCGGGACACCTGTCCAGTGACTTGCTTTATTTTGGACCCAAATGTATTAAACTACTATGTAATTCAGTAATAGACTACTATGAAATTCCCTTATAAATTCCATTCCATTACACATCTAGGGCTTAATGGAAGGGAAATAAGTATAAACTGGATTCCCTCTGCCTTCCAGTAAATGTTGTCCCATTGGCATTGCATCAGTCTGTGGGCAGCATTTTTTTTTTTTTTTTTAAGTCAACACATTTAAGCTAACTAGATGCAGGGTCAAATTATGAAAAGACAACATAGGTATTTCCTGTGGATCCATTTAAAACAGGTGTCCTCCCCAAATAGTCTCTGAGTCAGAAACTGAAGAGGGGGCAGGAAGAGCAGAGTGTGAAAGTCTAAAGTCATGAATGTTTGCCTGCGTTTTTCTAATCAAATTCTAAACCAAAATAAACTCAGTAGATTTTTTTTTAATTGGCTTTATAATTATGCTAATAGAAATAATATCACAAAAAATCAAGATAATTCTAAGAAGAGTCTACTAGCCTAAAACGATTCATTATTGAAAATTTATAGTTTTATCGTCATGTAAAAGTTGGGTCTTTTTTTGAAATTGTATATCCATGCTACATGTTCATAAGATTGCAAAATTAAAAAGATCTACTGAAGTTCTATCTTACTAGGTCCTTAATAAAATTTTATAAGTTCATGTGACATCCTCTTAGTTTGATATACCTTCCTACCTTACAATTTAGAAAATTATTACTAAGACTCCCGGTCCCCATCATTACAAAATATAATATTTTTAAAGCCATTTAAAGTTTTATTCTGTGATCATTATTTATTTTAGTAAATATAATTGAACCTATTCTAATGGGTTTGCCTTTGTTATTTTGTGACTTGCTAACCATAGTAAGATAGTTCTGTAGGTTTTTTTCTTAATAAAACATTTGCATAAACCTTAACTTGAATAATTTATAAATATGTTAGTCTACAATTTGGGGAACTTCTTGATAATTATGTATTAACATGTCCAGATTGCTCTTTTTGCCTTGTAGACCATATCTAATAATTTTAGTTATGTTTTAAAGATATTCTTTGTGAAAACAATCTACACACAGATTGTGTTTTCATAGTGTAAATAATATAATAGTGTATTGCTTTAAATTTAAAAGTGTTCCTTATTGTTTAAAACTTTGTAAAATCATGTTTCATGATTGCATAACATGACCTACTATGAACATATATTTTGCTTAAACTTTTCTGTTTTTAGATATTAAGGTTTTTTCCCAGCTTTTCAACACTGTATTACACTGTAATGTTGCATTTGGAGTTGAGAAAGCCACTTATTAAGGATTATTTGTAGCTTAAAACCAGTTAAGAAACCACCCTTTTATTACCTAATATTTTTTTACATGTGTTTATATGAATGAATTGAGCCAAAGAGAGCTTTTGCCGTAGAGGGCAGTTGGGACAGGTTAAGATTTAAGTGAAAGAAGTAGGTAAAAATCACACTTTTATCCAACAACTGATGCTCGTTGCAGATTTTTTAAAATTGCTTCAGGTATGAAACATAGGGCCAATGTATTTAATTCATCAGATTTTTGCTGTTAACCAGAAAGAGTTGCTATTTATAGGCCAACTGAGCAGCAACTAGCAGTTGTGCTAATATAAAAACTGGTTGCAACAATTTTTGCTGATTTACAAATAGGCTGTATTTACTGTAGGGAACTCTGCTAAGTTAGGGGATCTCTAAATACCAGAATCTTGGAGAGAGACCTGGAACAGATTCTCCCTCACAGACCTCAAAAGGGACCAACCCTGCTGACACTTTGATTTTTACCCTCCGGAACTATGAGACAATAAATTTCTGTTGTTTTAAGCCATGCATTTGTGGCACTTTGTTAATGGCATCTTTAGGAAACTAATACAGGGAGAAAACAAATATTAGGAGAGATCATCGCTAACAGTTTTTACCACAACATCCAATGAATAGTAAAATTCCAGTGACTTGTTCTCTGCAACATTTCTCAAGTCTGAGCTTTCATTTTTATGTATGTTGCTGTTGCTTTATTGAATAAACTCTGTCATTGATCTTCCTGCCTCTGTTCTTACATCTCCATGTCACCCTTAGCACTGTCACTAGAATTATCTTCCTGAAAGTATAGGTCGGATTATATCGTTCTTCTCCTAAAAAATACTCAGTGACTCTACAGGAAATTTCACTTCTTTGGCATGGCATGCAACATCTTCAGTGGTTGATCTGACCCTTAACCCAGTGTTTTAACATCCATTATTGTGCCTTTTCAAATAATTATGAATTCTATTATCATAGGAATACTTCTTTTCTCCCCAAAAACTCAACATTTACTTTTTTATACCCTTTGGGCACTAATAATTCATATCACCTTCCCCATCTGTCAAAATTGTACTCATCTCTCAAGGTCCAGCTCTGGCAGAAATTCTTTAATAATACCTATACTTGCAAATGCTTAACTAACCAGAAAGCACTGTCACATTATGCCAAATGGCATCTTCCAAGGGGGCAGCTGATGAGCATCCCTGGCACAACCGCAAGAGCCTTCTTTCTCTTTTGTAAGATGAGAAGCATACTCTCCAATAGTCTGGGATTATGGAAGCAGCTAATTAAACTCCTTTGGGATCCAGACTCTTGTCCATCTAAGGCAAGACTTTGGGGGAACTGGTAGCCTTTGCAGTAAAACAATATCACAGAAATGTGAAATGTCAGAATGGTGACATGGGTTGCTACTTCTTACCATGTTAAGCAACTTTTTACCTGAATTAAGGGCAGTTAAAATGTCTGCAGTCTTATTTATTGGCCCTCTTAGTTATTCTCGGAGCTAGTTAAAAGTCCATTTTAGAAACTAGTATGATAAATATCCATCATCACGGAGCTCAACAAAATTAACCAAACACCATCATTTTGTTTTCAGGAAACACATGATTTGCCATGAGAGATGGCAGGATCAAGCAATCTTGTCAAGTGCCAGAAGCCAGTTTAAATTATTTGTGAAGTTGGCCAACTGAGAGCTAAGAGAGCTCTCACTGCCCTTGTCCCCAGAGAAGAGCATGGTACCCGACTGAGCCTGCTGGATACAAGACTGATTTTGACATCTTGCTCCCCAGGAGCTGAGAATCCAGTTTCCATTTTTCTCAAAAATACATCTATCAAAAAAAGCAGGTGAATGGCTTATATCACTGACAACTAGACTATGAACATAGAAGCAGAGATCAGACTCGTAAGGATGCTTGGTAGTTTACCTGGGAATGCAGTGATCTGGCTGGGCCAAGCCACAGTTCTTAGTAAAGTCAGAAACCGCTGGAAAGACTTCTGGGAAATTTTTCCCTAGTGCACCCTTCCCCTATCTAGATGTTTCCTCTTTCACTGTGCATTTGATGACTGTGGCTGCAGTAGCCATCTTGCAAGCATGAGGAAAAGAACCAGAGAATCTCAGAGACATTTGTCCTGACATCAACACATCTGCAGAATCAGTACTTACCGTGGCCTCCTTTCAGACTTCTCGTGATGTGAGAAAAATAACCACCTATTTATTTAAAGCAGTATAGTCGAGTGTTCTGTTACATGTAGCTAAATGATGGTACAAGGAGATATTTGAGGTTATTTCCTGGAATGCTTCAAAAAGTGCTGAATCACAGGATAGTGGGATAGTACTAAGGAGAACAAGGCTCACATTTATTTATTTTTTTAAATTTAATAAGCACTTATAACACTAAGGTCCAAGTTCTGATCCGAGCACTTTACAAATATGAACTCATGTTATTCTCACCGAGGATGGTGACTATTATTATCTCTATTTTATGTAAGAGGACATGGAGGCATAGAGAAAATTACATTTTCTCTCATCTCTTACCATATCAATTATACTTCTTTATAAAACTCTTTTACAGGTTGTACTAGATTGTACAATATATACTCACAACTATTCCAAGTCTATTTTCAAGGACAACTTGAAAATATTAGTACTATTCCAGGTCTATTTTCAAGTACCACCTCCTAGATAGTAGAAATACCATATAACAGAGTATTCCTAATCCTTTCCTCTTGTCTCATAATATTTCTGTAATTCATTTCACTTATCCATATGCTATAATTGCCAAACACACCGTTGCCATTATTTTTTTGAATAAACTCTTATCTGTTGAGTAATTAGGAATAAGGACACTGAAAGGTTTTATCTTACCTTCATTTATTCTAACACATTTCCTTTATTTATGTAGATTCTGATTTCTGATTTGTATCATTTTCCTTCCCTCTGAAGAACTTCTTTGAACATTTCTTGCAAATTAGGTCCACTGGCTTTGGGAATAAATTCTCTCAATCTTTGTTTCTCTGAGAAAATCTTTATATCTCTTATAGTATTTTAGATATATTTAATCATTATCTTATAAAATCATTTGATGCCAATGAGAATTCTGTCATCAGTCTACTTGTCATTTCTTTGGGACAATCTATACTTTCTCCTTGGTAGCTTACAGGATTTTTAAAAAGTAATCGATGTTATTCATGCTATTATGTATCTGGATATGGGTTATTTAACATGCTTGTGCATTTTCAATATTTATTCACTTCTAGAAAATTTCCAGGTACTGTTTATGTAATTTGTTGAATATTTCCTCTCCTTCATTCTCTTGATTCTCTTCTTTAGAGGTTTGCTCTCACAATAAAACTCTTTCATCAGTACTCCAAGTCCCCTGAATTCTCTGTCATATTTTCTATCTCTCTCTCTCTGAGTTCATAATTATCTTCTGAAATCTCTCTTCCAATCCACTGGTTCACTCTACATTGTGTCTAATCTACTATTTATTAACCCTTTGTTGAGTTTTTTTCACTTTTAGAATTTTTTTTAGGATACTTAGGATATTTTTCACTTTTAGGATTTCAGTTAGGTTATTTCCTATATTGACTTGTTCTTGATTCATAGTCATTGCTTTGCTTTCATGGACCAAATGCTTTCTTGCTTTTTTTTTTTTTTGAATGACTTAAACATATTAATATTCAATTCTCTTTCCAATGAGTCTAATATTTTTACTTCTTCAGAAACTAATTTTTCTACTTATTGGGTCCATGTTTTGTCTTCCATGATAATTAGCTACTTCACAATTTTAGAGTTCATCAAATGCTCTTGGACCTTATTATTGAGCAGTTTTGTGTTGCTTTTGCCCTGGTTTTATGGGATTCAATGCTTTGGAAGGAATTTTTACTTGGTTTCATGGTTCTCGGTGTCTGAACCTATGTGAATGCATTTTGTCATTGGCCTAAGACAGGTAGCTTGATTTAGTACTCAAACTCCAGCTGCAAGGTGAAGAATTTCAAGTCTCTGTTTACAGAAGTGTCAGTGACTTCCAGTTCTCTGCTTAATGCAAGATATCCAGTGCCAGGAGTCTTGATTCTGATCTATCAAGAGCTTAAAATTCCTAGACCTTGAGGTGTTTATATAGGTCTTCAATGAGAAAGCCCCAAAGGATGTTATGGATCCCTAGAAGATATAAGTCCTATAGAAGACAAGCTCGAAAACAATAAGTGCAGTATGGTAATAGTCACTAGTGATAATATATAAATGAATAGAATAGAAGCTGAAAGGACATGCAACAAACCAATAAGGTTGCCACCAGGAATATAACTGGAGGAAATTGCTTTTTCTATATTATATGAATCTTTCACGATTACAATGTATTCATATGCGACTTGTATAATTAAAAAGTTTGAAAATTGTATAATTAAAAAGTTTGAAAATTAACAATGCATACAGGAAATACGTTTTGACTCAGTATGATAAAATATAGACATTAATATCAAAAAGAGTCAATTTTTCATTATCACTTGGAAATCGAAATACAATCTTTCAGATAATACTGAAAAAGACCTGGTACATGATATAATTGTATAAGATGTAGCCAAATTATACCTTAGAAGAAATTTTATTAAAATAATTTAAATATATAACTCAGAAAATCATAAACCATCAAAATAAATCAGAAGGAAGAGGAAAGGAACTGAAAGCAATGATTTTAAAATGAGAAAACCAAACATCAGAGTTTATTGATAAAAACAGTGAGGTATTACTTGAACAACTGTAAAAATAAAATAAGACAAACAAATTAGCCAACTCCCAGTAAGTCTAGACAAAAGAAAACCCGAGAAAACACAAATGTAATATTAGGAAAGAGAAAAGTGATGTAAAAGAGAAAATTGTAATTTTTAAAAATGTGGACACTTTCCTTAGATCTTTTTCTAAGAAAATACAAATAACTGAATTTGATTAAGTAAAATTCAGGAAGCTTACATAGATTAATATCTATATAAAAAAAAAAGCTGAAAATTTTATCAGATTTTTGACAAAATGGCTCTGTGCCTTGTTGGTTTTCTCAAAAAATATCAAATATTTTAAAAACTCAAATTCTGTGCAATTTAACTGCTGTACAGCTCTAAAAAAGCATAACTTCGATACAATAAACCTGATAAATACATCACAAAACCATGGGCCAATCTTTCTGATAAGCACAAATGCAAATGATTTATTATAAAATATCAAATACAGCAATATATTAAAAGAATAATATACCTGAATTTATTAAAAAAATAATATACCTAAATTTATTAAGGAACACAAAAATTGTTCAGTGTTAGAAATATGATAATATAGTTTTAGTAGATGCTGAAAGGACTTTCTCTAAATTTCAACATTACTTCTGATTAAAATTCCTAGTGAGTTATTAAAAAACAAAATTTCTTAACTTGCTAAGGAGTATTTTTCAGAAGTACAGAGTAAATATAACAATAATGAAATGTCAAAATAATCACATTGAAGTCATAAATAAAAGAATTTTTCTTGTGATTTCCATTCTCAATCAATATTCTGGAACTTCTTGCCAATGAAAGAATGTAAGAAAAAGAAATGAAGCATATATATTGGGAGAAAAAGTAGAGTCACTTACCAAAAATTATATAACTTCTTTGGAACAAAACCAAGACAATTATTTGATTTATTAAATAGCAACAGAAAGTAAGTAAAGGAAGCAGTAAATTCAAGATTAATATACCAAAAGTCAATAACGAGTTAGAAAATGAAATGGGAGAGAAGACTCATTAACAACACTAATGAACATACCTAGAAATAAATCTAACCCAGAAGATACAAGGCCTTTAATGAAATTTTAAAAGTGTACCAAAGTAAAGAAGAAACCTGACCATGTTGAAAAAAGAGTATAAAGTGATAAATTATAATGAAGTTTTTGCAACTGTAGTTAAAAACTAAATGTAGCATTTGCAGAACCTTGAAAATATAATTTTAAATTTCGCTTAGAGAAGAGTAAATGAGAACAACCAAGAAAAATATTAAAAAGATAAATGAAATCTTGAACTGTAATTTATTAGAATATACTATAAAAATATAGTAATTAAAACATCCTGATACTAACAGATATGAAGTAATAGATCAATATACTTTAATTTATATGAGATTTAACTACATTCAATGGAGAAAAGACATATTGTTCAATAAATAAGTTGTAAAATTTGTGGAAGAAATGGGAAGAAATGAATTTATATTCCTACATCAAAATCATATTCTAAAATATCTCCAGATTAATACTTCAATGATAAAAAAAATATTAAATGTCATGGGAGTAAAATTATTTTTATGTGGAGAACACCTTGCTAAATAAATAACATCACATGCCACAAAGAAAAAATTGAACAGAAGCGACTATAAAGATAAAAGATAAAAGACAAATGACAAAAGGAAGGAATTTAACAGTTAATGTGTTAAAATTCTCTCTCTCACAAATCGGTGAGATAAAAAACACCACTACAGAAAATCTGCAAAAAAATATAAACATAAGATTCACAAAAGAACTACAGATGATCATTAAAACTATTTCTTAAAAGATACTCAGTCTCAGCCTTTTGAGCCATGCTTCTCTTGCTCAGGCCCGCTTCCACGTCTGGAAGTGTACTCTCCCTTCTAATAAAGCTATTCTTTTCTGCTGTTAAAAAAAAAAAAAAAAAAAAAAAAGATACTCGATCTCACTTAAAATTAAATAAAAAGTAAATTTCACTATTTCCTATCTTGCATGATGGCGAGTGAAAAAGCTGATAAACTGGACCCTAAGGAGAAGAAGCCTGAAGCCAAGAAGGCTGATGCGGGTGGCAAGGTTAAGAAGGGTAACCTCAAGGCCAACACACCTAAGAAGGGAAACCCCACTGCAGCCAGAACCTTGTCCTGGTCTGAGGAATTGGCAGATATTCCCAATTGGCCATGTATTCCAGAAAGGCCATGTACAAGAGGAAGTTTGCATATATAGTCAAAAAGCTAGGAATATGTACAGTAAATGTGATCAGTGGTTTTCTCTGAGGGGTGGGGTAGTGATTTTCACTCTTTCTTCCTTTTGAATAATTTTTCAATTTATGTCTATGTTACTTGTACTTAGAAAATATAAAACAAAAAATGAAAATTAATAAGTATATGGTACAAATGGAAACTCAAAGTTGAACTTTTGCCTAGTGCTGACTTTAAATGCCTAAAGAAAATGAATTTTAAAAGAAAATCACTTAGGCTAGTCCTAAATCTCTGTAATCAGATAGATGTCACAGAAATTTTTACTTTCCTTCTCCACCGGTTTCTCTGGGATTACTGATTAATGGACAGTGCAAAGGGCTTTGCCTAGGGTCAAGATGCCAACGTGTGGCGCCAGAGAGTCACCAAGCCCCAAACCAAACACAAGCAGGGGAGTGTCCCGCCATCAACAAAACAAGGAACCGTCACGTGCCCAAACAACAGCCTGACCTATTGAGCCATTTTTCGAATCACCTCTTAACACTCTTCCATTGTTCCATGCAGCATAATTGAAGGCTACATTTGAGGACAACAGCTGCTATGAGGTAAAACCACCTGAGGCAGCTGCTAGTTTGGGCTGAAGACATTCTCTAAGGACATGAAAACATATCTAAATGTAGCGGGACATTGACTTGTAGAGAATAAAAAGAATGTTAGGAATTAAATTGGGTAGCTCATTTGGAACACAGACTGCTTATGATAGCAGAAATTCCCTCGGAGAAAATCGCAGCAAATAGATTGCAACCACAAAATGAACATGCCTCTTCCTACAAGTAATTTCGTATCTTTAGAGTATCACCTGCCAGGCCAACAAATTTCATTTTCTTTACAGCTTTATAACTCTTCAGAGAGAAGATTTAAAAAACAACACCACTGTTTACGCTATTAAAATTTCAGTGCATATGTGTACTTGTACAATGGGATTAGATGGGAGAAATATCCATATGGTTGTAAAATTATTTTATAAATTATTAACTAGCTCAGGTTTCATCTGAGTAAGAAAATCATAAATTTTTCTCAGCATTTCCTTTTAAAGAGGTAATAAAGTCAGGCTATAAAAGGATTCACAACATCCTCATGGAACAATAGACGAAATCCAGGCAAATAGTTATTGGCAATAACTTGTCTTTCTCCTTAAAGAAGGGAAATTTCAAGAGTAACTTTGCAAACAAAGTAATTTTTATAGAGTGAAGGCAACACTGTACAGTCAAATGTGCATTTGATTGGAAGGTAAAATCCTGGATTCAGGCCCAGTTCTGCCATTTATTAATACATGGAATTGCACAGCTCATCGTGGCAGCATCTCCAAACCTCGAACCTCAATTTCTTTATCAAAAGATGGGATTAAACTAGAAGTTTATAGTTATCACACATGACTGTAGATTTTCAACAAAATACTATAGGGTATATATGTCCAGATAACTAATTCACAGAGTTGATAAATAATGTTAGAATGAGAAGGAATCCGAAAAAGACCTATTTAAGTAGGGATTTTCAATTTATTAAAATGAAAAATAAAAGAAATGGGAATGAAGAAAAGAAGCAACAGAAGAAGGAAGGAAAGGGTGAGAGAAAAAGAAGAGGGAGAGATGAGGAAGGAAAGAAAGACGTGAGGCTGTAAGTTAAATTTAGAATAATTTTGAATTTTAATCTAAAAACTAATAACAGAAGTAAATTAATTTTGTTTTTAATACTGTTATAAAAATATTTTAAAATACTGTTTGTAAAATGTGCTTTTTTCAATGATAAGTGTTTTTTTCAAATTAATATTATATTTGAAGCCATAGTATATGTTCTTTGCTCTTAATGCAAGGAAGGTAGTAGATAGGAAAATGGGCCAGTTTTTGTATATAATATACATAAAATATATGTATTTCATATATTACTGGGAAGACATTTTGAGTTGTGTAATAGCAAAAAGCACTCAGATAAAATAAATTAGAAATGTTGTTTTCTCATTGAACAAGGAAAGGTGTCTATAAGAGAAAGAGACGATAAGGAATCTGATTTTTTAAAACGAAACTTTTTTAATAGTTTTAGATTTACAGAACGTTTCTAAAGATAGTACAGAGGATTGCTATATATCCTGGAGCCAGTTTCTCCTGTTCTTACCATCAACAGTATACAACTGTTATACACAACAGTAAAAATAATGTACAATTGACACATTCTAATTAACTTAAATCCGTACTTTATTCAGATATCCTTTGTTTTGACCCAATGATCTTTTTCTGTCCCAGGATTCCATTCAGGATATTATATTATGCTTAGTCATCATATCTCCCGATTTGAGCCTCTGTAATTCTCAGTTCTCCACAGCTTGGCCTCCCGTCTTCCCACCTACTAGAGTAACTGCAGTCCTGGGTCAGGCGGTATTGAAGCTGCTCTAGTCCAGCGGGTGGACGCCTTTGCCTCCAGTCCCATCATCATGAAGTCGACCAATCCCGTACTCAAGGCTCCTGCT